CGGGAGCCCGGCTGCGCACGGGCGCGGGCGGCGGGCAGTGAGGTGGGGCTCCAGCAGCCGTTGGGGCTCGCGGCGGTTGGGAGGTTGTGGGAGGGCGGTCGTGGTGTAGGGTTAGGGGGCCCTAACGCTGGAGGGGGGTGATGCTTTGAGGTGCACGAAAGCTCTTCTGAATGTTAAGAAGTGTTTAGGTTACGCCGTGGAGCTTGTGTATGAAGCTTCTCTCTTCAGGAAACGCTTCGAGCCCTGGAGAAGCTGCTGCGGGGGGAAGCATAGCTATGACTGTGGTGCTTGCTTCAAGATTTTCTCTATGTTTAATGCTGAAATTTTAGCTGTAGCTGCTCTTATGGGCAGCTCTTAGCTCTCCCTAAACCTATGGACTCAGTTGAAAAAACATGAGTATGCTTAACTTCTGCTAGTTTTTACCCTTCTTTACACTAATAGAGTTTAGAAGGGAGGGAGTCAGGCTGTCTGATTCCTGGAGCAGTGTTTGCAGCTGCAGACAGTACTAGCCTGCTTGTTACTATGAGGCTGATGCAGCTGGTGATCTGTGTGTGCAAGTCAGGTGCAGTCTTATCAAGTTTAAGGCCATACAGTGTTTATACTTAGTGAAGTACTCACTGTAAAAATCTTTCCCTTGGAGTTTGCATCTCTTTACATTTTATTACTTTTTGGCCAAAACTGTTAACTAAATCCCATATTAGGACATTATTGAACAATTTTAAAAAGCTTATATGCTATTGATTATATTGCTTTTATTGCATTTAGAAAGTATGCTGATGATGAGCTTCCCAAGTTATATGTAGTACAGCATGTATTCTCTCCAAGACTTCTGCAAAAATACTATTAATTAGGAAATCTGAGTTTGTTAGATGCTGAGTGAAGTGCTCTACAGCTCAGCAGTAGTCTAACAAGAATTAATTTATGTAGTTTTCCTTATCGCTCTGTGACTCTTTATAAAATTGCTTTTTCTTGTGTTCTCAAGTGATCTTTACTTCCAGTAGCTTAGAATTGCAATTAGAGCAGATCTATGTATATATAAAGTTTTCTGCAGGAGTTTGGGCATGTTCTTTATTTCCCCACGAATAGTTTGTTATGTAGATGTGAAAAACAAAGTGTTAAGTCTATTGTGTCCAATCTTCTGTAACTTCACTCTAGATACTATATTTGTAGGAGCCAGTTTACTAAGATGCCTTATTTTGCTATCCCTTTTTTAAAGCCATCTTATGACTCATTTCCTTAGACAACTTTTGAGTTTGGTACACAAGAAGGGTCATATTCCTTGCTTCAGTCACAAACAAACTAGTGGCTTAGGACGTTTGTAGTTTTATTTGTGTAATTTTCACTAGATTAAAAGATTCCCTTAGGCTATTTCTCCTACAAGCCTATATAACCTGAAAACTCTGGAACCTGCAAGATAGGTGTTTTGGATTTTTTGTCTTGATGAGTGAATGCTGAAAGTAAAATATGTTAGCACAATAAAAATAGGGTAGGAGCAGTGGAGTTTTGACTTTGAGTTGCCTAATGGTGTTTTAGTTTTTTCCTAGTGTGAAATAGCCCTACTACCAGATTTAGTTTGTGAACACATCCACTCTTATACCCTGATTCCATTAGAGTAAGCATGTGCCCTTGTGTCTTCCCTTTAATGTAAGTATACATAAAGTGTGTAGAGCTCAATTTACTGTTAACAGGAACCCTTCCATTCCTTGCAACAAGGAAAGATCTTGCTGCCCATGGAAATTTCATATTCTTGTTCCTCAGTGTTTAAGTATTAAATTCTAGATGTAGGATTTGTGTATATACCTTTTGCACAACTTGCACTTGCAGAATGTAGTTTAGTTTATGCTTAATTTAGTCTCAAAAAATGGTATTTGGGTAGAGCAGGACCCAAATTAGGCTTCTCCGCTCAAGAAAAGGTGATAACTTGGCCTCTGTGATATCCTTATCAGCATGTATGTAACTTTGAGTGAGGCTATGTATTGCCTCGTTCCTTCCTGTATTGCCGCAAGATGTGTAAAGGAACAAACCAAGGGCAACTGTTGTGAGCATGGGAAGGAGCTCCTGAAACTGAGGAGGGGAGGCGCAAGTGGACACAAATATGTTGGAAACCAGACTTTGTTTATGGAGTAGATTGAAGCTATTTTTGAGGCTTGTACAATTTTGTTTCTGAGGCACCTGATCTGTTCAATTGAAGTGTTCTGTGTTTCTGCTGCTGTGGAACTAGGTGTGTTTAACAAGATAAACTTAGTTTGATTTCCAAAAAATCTGGTATTTGGCTGGTTGCAATAGACAGTGAGGAAAGCTTTAGCTAATCATTCTGTCTTCCTGCATTTGAGATGCATGGAAAGTTTTTGTCAATTTCTTTTTTGTACTTCCCAGTCACTTAATATCAGGTGGAAACTTTTCATCTATCTTATTTCAATAAAAATCTCTTATGGTATTTATTTGGCTATTTAATTTTAAGCTTTCTGAGGTTGAAAACCATGGTTTTGTGATTAGGACATTATATAAAATGTGGAGGTATAGAGGTTAGGGGCAGCTGGAACTCCATTTCAGAAACAAGCTGCCTTTGAATCCTGCCTGTGACAGTGGTGTAACAGGAGGGCTCTTGGCAAAGCTCTAGGTATTGGGCCTTGCTATTGGGGAAAGCCTAGTTATTGAGGTAGCCTTGCCTAGGCTATGGATCCAATGTATCTGCTGTATCTCTATGAAGTTGCTTTTGATGCTTTTGTAGTATGAGCGACAAACTACTGATCTGTGCTGTTAGGAAAGGGGTAGGATTTTGTTTGACTAGCCTAATGTTTAGGTTTGGCATGAACTGCAAAAGTCCTTGATTCCTAATAGTTTACTGCTTCTACAGAGTAATGTGTAGAAACTGCCTTTTTTGGATCAGTGACTAGTGCAAGTAGATATTTTCCATGACTGTAAATAGGATGGAGAGCAATCAGTCCCTGTTGGGTCTGTCTTGGGAGTTTTATGCTTAATAAGTTTTTTATCTTTTTGTTTGTGAACATTTTCTAGCCAAGCAAGCTGCACATTTGGTGCTGAAATGCATTCTTGATTACTGTTGGAAAGCTTTCCTTATTTTTCTTATTTATCTTATGTAGCATATTAATGGAGTTTGTCATTGGACACACTTGGGATGGCATACCCGTGAGCCACGAGCCTGCAACAGTGCGACTGAAGCCGGGCAAAGCAGGACTGCTAATGGAAGTTAGTGCTCCCTTCTTTAATGATCCTCCAGCACCACTTGGAGAGCCAGGGAAGCCCTTCAGTAGCCTGTGGGACTATGAGGGTAAGTGTTCCTGAGTTGTGTAGGCACCGATGTTCCTCTATAGTTAATAAACCTAGTCTTCCTGCAGCTGCTTTGACAGATATTCTTTCAAACTGATTTCATTTGGAGTGATGAACATGTGACATTCAGTAATTCAATTCAGGGTCTTTGACAACACCATTTTTTTGAAGGTCAGAAGCAAAATACTAAAGTAGAAACTTCCTTTTTTTTTTTTTTTTAAACTATTTGAAAGAATTTATAAACACAGTATTCTTAAACATTCTTAAGTAGCCATAAACTTTATACTGTATTTAACCAAAAACTATGAAGTGTGTTATTTCTAGATGATTTGATTTCATCACCTACAGCTTAGCAGTAGGACAGCTGTAGTGTAATGATAAAAATGACAGGAGAAAAAGAAGCAAATGCATTACTTTGTCCCTTGGTGGACAGGTTAAAAGAGACTAGAGCCATGTCTTTCATATCCCTTTATGGTAGTAGTCATTAAGTGAGGCTCTAAAACATAGGATTATTGTGGAGTGCTTGGAACAGTTTGGAAGTATAAGCTATCAGTGTGATGTTAGTCAAACTCTGGAAAGCACAGGGATTGTTCTTCATAAAACCTGAATATTATATTTCTAGTGGGAAATGGAGAACTTGTGGTGTTACAAAACGGATAAGCAATATAAAGTGCTGATGGACTATTTATTTATTTATTTATTTTTAAGTTGTAGAAGCATTTTTCTTGAGTGACAGAGCTGAACAGTATTTAGAAGTTGAACTTTGTCCGTAAGTACTGCATTCTTTGAAAAAGTCTTACATATTAGTTTGCATTTTCAGGGTAAATTCTGGTGCTTGCAAGATGTATGTGTGAGGAATGCTGCAAGCTTATGTTGCTTCAATGGAAGAAATGTGTGTGTATTTTTAGTGGAACAGCATATATCAGTTTGGTGTCTTGGCATCAGCTTAAGTAAGTTGTGACTTTGATCTTTGACAGTCATGGACAACATTTGCTGCTGCTTCTTTCTGGCAGAAGAAGAGTATGGAAAGTAAGTAGTAAAGTACATATATCTAAAAGAAATAGATTTTTCATATCTCTTCCCTGGTTGGAAGATGATGTTAGCATTTTCTTGTTCCTTTAACAGGAAAATCTTCCTTTAGAATTTGATGTGACCAGAATGGAAGACAAATGGGAGGGGCAAGCTTGTCTTCCTTGGAGTTATTTTCCACCATACACCAACAAGTTTAATGCCTTTGCAATTCATGGTTCGGGAGTAGAGAGAAAATATGAAGCGCTTCATCCTGTGCCTCGACATGAACTGCACGAGGGACAGAAGCCAGACTTGTAAGCTTAAAATTAGCTCTTCTCTAACCTAGCTGCACTATTTTTAGAATACTTACAAAAGCTCTTTAATCTAGCTGATTGAGTGCTGCAAGTACTTTAATTACATTGTTTAGCCCAAGACCCATTGGCACAGTACTTTGTGTGAAGAACTGTGGCAGATAGTTGTAATTAGTGCTTGATTTTATGCTATCCCCTAGGTGTACAACAAATGATGGATTTGGCACCAAAGGCATCTGTTCCATCACCTTCCTCTGCTAAACCATAGACTGATTGTCTCACTTTTCTTGCCTATAGCACTTTCCGAAATGCCATTCAGTGTTAATTTCACTGCATGTATCTGCAGTGAATCTCTTGTTTCTCCCCTACTGTTCTAAACAAGCTCACCTCTATAGATAGTTCCACATGATAGAAAAATTTGAAGGTGCGGACTAAATCAAGGAATGTAATGAGAGGATACTTAATGTTAATAGAAAACAAGAGTATTTTGGTCTTTGGGCTTCTCTGGGCTTGTTTATTTGTTTTGACTGACTCTGAGATGAGTTGAAACAAACTGCTGCTTCTGGGTGATCTCTGTGAATGAACTGACTACAGAGGACCTATAGTTGTTACACAAACTTGCTTGGTGTGAAGAGGTTATTCCTTATTTCTGTTTTTAGTTTGCCTTCACTCTTCAAAATTAACACTTTCAAATAAGAGAATTTTCTTTACCTTTTTAAGTGAATTAGTCAAATATTCTGTTTACAGTTTGGCAGTTGTTGACTTCTAATTGTTGTTTACATTAAACATCTCTTGCTTCTGTTGTTCCTCTATGGTAGCCTAAAGATGTTCTTAGACCTGCTTCATAATGTTTAAGGAAATGGGAGATATAGTCTGTAGGGGAAAAAGATTGTATTAACTTAATTATGCTATCCTAGCACTTGAACTTCACTTTATGCTGTGTGGTACTTATATAAATAAGCTGAGAGATTTTCCTTGTGTTAATACAGGATTTATGAGTACTGTAGTGTTATTTATGAACTCTGCCTTTGGAAAGTGAATATAATGAATGCTAGTTCTCTTTCTGTTGAAGAAAAGAAGAAAATAAAGATCAAGCAGACCTACTGAGGAGGTTTCTCTAACAGTTATGGGTTTTGTAGTATATATCTTATTTTTCTCTATTCATAGTCATCGTCTGGATTTTTTCAAAGAATTGAACCTGAAAGCACTAATGGGAGAAGACTGGAAGCAGCCTGAATCAGATATATGGAAATGTCTTTGACCCTCAGAAGTGAATGAGGCCTACACTTTTGATAAGATTAAGGTTGGATAAAGCTGTATAGAAACTCTCTTGATTTTAGAGTTTGTTTGCTTTGTAAATATGATTAATAAAGCTTTCTTTGTCCTCTAAAGCACTAATTGCTCTTACAGTCAACTAAAAAGTATTGAGAGTACGCAACTGTCTGTTCCCACTCATGTATGGAGCTTTATCTTCATCCTTAGTGGTGAATCTGCCCAACCAATAGAAAAAACTATGCCAAATTACAACTGTTTTCATGAGACCTCTCAGCTTGACAAAGCAGATGTCTGTCTTTAAAGGAAACTGATAAGGATTCAGTTGCTGTGTCTGCTACTGCTTTCACTGCTACTTATTTCTTGGTTGTTGAATGTGATTCTTATTTGCCTAAACTATTTTTGTTTCTAGTATAAGTCTCCTTCAGTAACAGAAGAGAACACAGATCTCATACCTTTTTCTGGCCCAGGTCTCACATTGCAAGCTGTTCTGGAGGTCTGATCCTTTCCTAGACTTTCAGGTTTCTTTTGCACAGTGCTGAAGAGGGATCTCCATCTGGCTGTTGGCTTATTAGCAGACTTGTATGCTTCATAGTCAATGTAGAAATTTTAGTGATATTTAAGTACAAAGGCTAGATTTACTAAGTTTTATGCATTTCAGGCAAACTTTTTGGGAGAAGTAACGTTTAGTAAGGTCTTGTGATATAATTGTCTCCCTAACAATGTTTCAAGGCTTTTGTCATATCATGGTAAGTATCCAGCTCATATGAGAAACAAGAAACTAACAAATTCTATTTACCTGTCACTAGATCATGGGAACTCAAATGACTTGCAGGTGCCTGCATTTCTGTGTGTTGGTATGAATATTATATAACAGTGCTAAATACTGTTAGACTCACAGGATGACTAATGACTCAACTCTCACAGAATTTACAAATGATATGTTCCCCTCAAGACTTGAGCTGTTTAGCAGAATGTGTTCTTTAGTCGTGATTGCCAGTTGAATCCTAGGGTAACTTAGAAAATGGAGAGCTCGCCTGACGAGCAGATTCTTCATATGATAAATGAGTAACCTAAAATGGAATTTACCTGCTTAATTTGGTGTGGGATTCAGATCAAGATATGATCTCTGTTCCTTATTAGAGAGAGGACTTTCTGCATCCTGCTGATGAAAGAATTGTTTCAAAAAATGTGGCTTTAGGCCTTGTCAAGATGTTATGAATATATTCAAAAAGATTCAAATGTTGTGTAGCCTGTTACAATGTGCAACCTTGTTTGCTGTGGAAACTTCTTACCTACTTGCAATTTGTTGTTATAATTTGTTTGCTGCTTCTTGCTCTTTTTCTAGGCACTTTCAGTGTTTTGAGTTTCTTCTGTATAACTACCCATCATAAGATCTCCCTTGGGGTTCCTCAAGTACTATCTTGGTTTACTTTCTGTGAATTGCATTAAGTATCTGTGGTCACATGTTTCAAGACTGCTTAAATGAGTAATTTGGGTGGCCATATTTACAAAAATTTCTTGTTCTTTTATCTCATAAATGGTTTTAAAATTTCTTTGTGAAGTTTTGGACTAGACTGTTTTGTTTGTGTTGTAACTTGCAAAGGAACAAACTCCAGTATATTGAATCAAACACCAAAGTCTCGAGTCCAACACCGAAGTCGCAAATCAAACACCAAAGTCACTTTATTAAATATTAGATAAAACTTATATACTGTACTGTTCTGGTTGTAATAGCTTATTTGTCTAAAGGAATGCGAAGCACTGTTACCAAATAGACCAGTAATCTAAAGGTTTATACTGAGACTATCCAACCAGCTTCTTGGTCACATAGCAACCGGACCGTTGCTTTTACTCCCTGTCTGCTGATAGAACACCTGCACTGCTGTCCTATCTACTAATAAGCCACTAATAATGCCACATTACTGTTCTCAAAATGGACCTCCATTGTATGTGCTGCTGAAAGGATTCTATTTTATTTTGACCATCCATGCATGAGCAGCCTTAATTTGACAGTCATGCTTCTCTGATATTTTTAAGTTAGACTGCAAATTCTTCTTTGGAAAAACAGAGGTTGGAATATCCTATTTTTGTAAAGACTATCCCAATGTGACTAATAACTGAGACAATGCTACTTCAGAATTACTGAGGGAGCTGGGCCTGTTCAGCCTGGAGAAGAGAAGGCTGAGAGGGGACCTGATCAGTGTCTATAAGTACCTCAAGGGAGGCAGTGAGGAGGATGGTGCTGGTCTCTTTTCACTGGTAGCCACTGATAGAACTAGAGGTAATGGCCATAACCTGAAACATAAAAAGTTCCACAGGAACCTAAGGAAAACATTTCTAACAGTGAGGGTGACAGAGCCCTGGAACAGGCTGCCCAGAGAGGTTGTGGAGTCTCCTTCTCTGGAGATCTTCCAAACCCACTTGGACGCAGTCCTGTGCCACGTGCTCTAGGTGACCCTGTGTGTGCAGGGGGGTTGGACTAGATGATCTCTAGAGGTGCCTTCCAACCTTAAGCATTCTCTGATTCAGTGTTGCAGTGTTTTTGTAACAAGCTTGTATTGGGGGTTAGATATGTACAAATTTGTTAGATTATTTTCAGAGCAACAATTTATCTAGAATATCAATTTGATAAATTGCAGAGCTGCATGGTGAAAAAGCATAGATCATGTGACTGCTCTATTCACGAATCCATTTGACTGTTAAAATGGATTTAAGCACTCCAACACTGAGCACTCTGAAGCATCTCTGTCTCTTAAAAATCAGCCCATCTGTTTCCTGTGGATAATAGAGGCAGGTAGCAGTTACCCTGTGTCATACTGCGTATAAGCTAGAATTTTAACTTTAGAAATGGAGAATGCCCTGGGGTCTGTGGGGTATTTGTTGTGAAGGTTTTCCTTTTTTTTTTTTTTTTTTTTTAAGCTCTGCAAAAGCTCTAGGTAACCTTATATGTACTGATGTACTGTCTTTACTTCTGAAAAAAGTATCTTAGTGTTCAGTTGCCTTAGCATATTTGGCTATACTTACTAAGGAATTGAGTTTGGAAGTGCTGGGATATTGTTACTTTGTTTCCTTTACTCTTGGGAGAAGGGAGTCTTTGTAGCGCTACTCTGTAACAGAATCCCAGAATGGTTGAGGTTGGAAGTGACCTCTAGAGATAACCTAGTCCAACACCCCTGCTCAAGCAGGGACACCTAGAGCATGTGGCACAGGGTGGCATCCAGACAGGTTTTGAAGATCTCTACAGAATTTAAAACATTAATGAGGATGGCAAATGTAATTTAATTTGGCAAAAATTGGACAGATTAACATAGTCAAGCAACTTGTTTTTTAAGTGGTAAATTGATAGAAGTTTGGAAAAATAGTCAAGCAACTTGTTTTTTAAGTGGAAAGAGAGTTGGGTGTCTGGGTTTCATTTTCATCAGGGTGTATTGCTGAGTGTTGATCATTATCAGCCTGTCAGGTACTGTTTACCTCTCTATTTTTAATTACAGTACAGAAAGGTTGCTGTGGTTCTTAAGTGATACAACATTATTATATGCTTATTTTTATCTTAAGTTCCAAGTTTTACTTTAAAAATGTATACTAGAAACCACAGTATTCCTTTCCTTATTCCAGACCTTTTCAGCAGAAGCTTCTGCATAAGAGAGAAGGGAAAGTTTCCATGAGCTTAATGTCAGGGTTAGCTGAAAGCATGAGGACATAGCATCAACTTTAAAGATGTGCTGTTCCTGGTTTAATCTGTTTTCTAATATGTTACATACTGTCATGAGGATATTGATCCCAAAGAGAAGAGAGACTAGTGGAAAACATTGATCTTGCTTTAGAATTGCAGTTGAAACAGTGCTATGTAGGAAATAGAAATCTGCAGGGCCACAGAGCTATCAATCTTAAATTGTTTTTGCTATTGTGTCATTTCAATTATTTTAATGAAGTGCTAAGCAGTTTTGCAATTACTTTTTTGGTCAAATCCTTTCAGTAGATACTTGAGCAATTGGGTTTGACTGTAGAGTTATACTTGAGAAACGATTAGACTCTGAATAATGTGAAAAATAATACTAGGTTCAATGAATGATAAATAGAGCTGTAAAAGGGGAACTTCAGCTTGTTTCAACAACTCTAAGTGCATTTCTAACTCCTTGTGGCAGTATGCTCATCAGTTAGAGACTTGAGCATTAAATTCAGAATTTCTATGTTACTCAGCCCTTCCTATGTCAGTAAATCTTTAAAGGACTGAGACTTAGAAACATGTCATGACAGTAGACCTTGTTTTTGATGCTTCTTGCCACTAGGTGGAAGAAGATGATTATGAAAACTATGGCTGGATGATACCAGAGTTATCTTTAAGCACATCTAGTCTGTCTCTTACAAAAAAAGATGTTTGTCTTACTGATGATGGCTTATTTTAAGTTCTTGACACATCTTTACCCAAAAGAGGCATGCACTGTGGTTACAATTCTGGTGTTTTTTTCCCTCCTGACATGTTTTTTAAGTAATTGTGAGATAAAATTACCATAAGATACAATCAAGGTGCATGTCAATAGTATAAAACATAGTATTTTAGTATGTAAATGATTTGAACATTCATTTATTTTTTTTCAAATGTCTGGTTTCCTGGAAACCTTTCAATTTTTTTTTTTTATTTAAAGTCCCTTCTAGTTCGCACTGTGCTAGGCAAATTCTGTTGAAATTATTGTTTTTTCTCTAATAGTGGGATTTTTTTGTGAAAATAACTTTGTTGCACATGACTCAAAATACACATGGGCATGCTAGAGTAATATAACTCTGGGGAACCCTGGATTGTTTAAATAACTGATGTTGCCTTGAAAATTGAAGATGAAGGCTTTACCTCTCCTACCGCTTCCTGACTGAAAGAGCATGGGTGTTTGAGAGTTACCATTGTGGCTTTCCGTCCGGCTAAGTGCATTTTATGCTGATGAAAGGCCCTGTGCAGAATATTAGACTTGCATTTTAAATTCTTAGCATGTA